TATCAATAGGCCAAGGTAGTTTCTTTATTCATTAACTGATAAAAGCAACACATAGACAGAAGGACCTCCCACACCATATGTATGTATGTATGTATGTATGTATGTATGTACGTATGTATGTATGTCAAGTGTTTAGGCTACTGAATGTATTTCGTGGAGCATTGGCACTGAAGTATGCTCTGTTAAATGCTGGGAGCTGGCTCATCCCCAGGAGGTGGAGTGCTCTCCTGGCTGGTCAGACTTCACACATGGTGCTTGTCCTATCTCGTGTTAACTATAATATTTTGTGCACCAGAGCATAGTCTCCAAGAAGGTCAGCAGAGGACATTGAATTCTCTGAAGGTGGAGCTACAGGTGTATGAATTACCATGTGGACACTTGGAACCTAATACCCCTTCTCTGGATGAGCAGTAAGCACACTCAAAACCAGTGAACTGGCTGGGAAATACATGTCTTTGTGGTGTCGGCCATGATGGTTACTTACAATGCTTACAATCAGGGACTAGAATGTTTGGGTTTTCTTAAAAACACGGGGAATGGGCGGGCAGGGCTTTGTTGAGCTACCATTCACACCAGGCTCTCCCTCATTGATGCCTGCCTCTTCTGCACCTACCCAAGCTGGCTTTGGGAAAAGAAGTGTTTTAAAAATTTCATTGAGAAGCACACTTGGGGTTACGTGTCTTCCCTCTGACTCACTGTAGATTTAAAAAGCCACCAGGTTTGAAAATGCATTTTAAGTTGCATTAAGCGGGCTCATGGGGCTTTTCGCCAGTCTTTGAGAACCGTCATCTAAGGGTTCTGTGTCATTTTCTCCTGCACATTCATGGACCAAGCAGATCAGTCATGGAACCAAGCTCAAATAAGTCAACTTAGAAAAAAAAAAACCCAAGCACATTTCCATATGATCGAGGTTAGATTTTAAGAAAGCGGTAGGTGTAGTCCTCAGCCTATAAGGTGAGCGTGACTTAAGAACATGTCATTCTAGGTATTTAAGGAAATGAAAACTCAAATGACAGGAATGAGGACATAAAAATTAATTCTCAGGTACGACTTTGCAGTGCATTTTAACTCATCCCCACCACTCTGACTACGGTTTCTAAACCAGGTCGGTGGCTCTGGCTAAGCCATCTCATTCTCCCTTTTCCATTTCGGGTAGCGCTACTGCCCACCCTCCTCTGTGCTGTGAGGAGCAGCTCTTGCCCATAACACGAAGCCAACACCTAGCTCCACCCCACCCCCAACGCTCCTTCTCTGCCCTAGGACACTGAGCATGGGCAAGAGGACAGACTGGATCAGCAGAAGGATTCAATGTCAGTCACCAAGGTAACCAGCCAGCCACTGCCCCATGCTCTGACACAAGCAGAAGCAGAAATAGAAAATTAAGATTTGTAGGGAGTATCTGGAGGGCTTAAGGTGGTGTGCTGGTTCTTGCATTAGGGGTCAGGACAACAGGCAGCAAGAGAGAAAACTCTATAAAGCAGAGAGCCAGCCATTCCTCAGAGGAGCCCTGCTGTAGCTCAGCAGGTCCCCAAGAGCAAAGACTGTGTTGACTCTGTGGAGTTACACATGGCAACCCCTTCTCAAGAAACTTGAAAGATAAACACAGTTTGTTTTCTGAAGACTCTCACAAAGGACACCTGGTTACTGCCCTGCCTCTCCACATCTATCTGAGACGGGTGTGAGAACCTGGCACAGACGCCTGCAGCCCTAGGAACACAGCTCCGTGTTCACAAGCACCAACATAGAGCAAGGCGGCGGAAGCAGATCAAAGTGAACTGCTCCTCTCCTCTCCCTTTCTTGTCTTTTTAAAATCTCATGTGTGTGAGTGTTTGTCTACATGTCTGTCCATCACATGAGTTAGTGCAGTGCCCAAAGAGGCCGGGGAGGCCGATGGATCCGGTGGGACTAGAGTTGCAGACTGGTGTGAGCCATCCTGCAGGTCTTTAACCACTGAGCCATCTCTCTAGCCACCATTAGTCATTTCAGCCAAAGATGGATTTCTATCTTTTAAAGAACTTCTTTACAAACAAAAATGAGACTTAAGTAATGCCTTTGGAGAGGGGTTAAATATAGCAAGATACTAGTGGCGGGAAAAGCTGTTTTCCCATTATCAATTGCACAATGCATCATTCCTTTTAAAATACTTATTTGTGTCTGTGTGAGTTTTTGTGCACTCCTATACAAGAGCCCAGGGCAGCCAGAAGAGGGCATTGGATCCTCTGAAGCCGGAATTAAGGCAGTTGTGAGACACTGTGAGTGCTGGGGACACAACTCAGGCTCTCTGCAGGAATAGAGAGGACTCAACTGCTGAGCCATCTGTCCAGGACAAGAAGTATCATTCTAGTCACCCTGTCCTTCTATGACATGGGGCCAAGACTCTGGAGTCAGAGACCCCACTGGGACTGGACCCATGGGATGTTCTTCCGTGAGCAGGGGACAATAGCCACAGGGAGACTTGCAGGATCTCTTCAGCTTAGGAATATTGACCTCTTGAGGTGAATTTAAAGAAAGTTTTTTTAAACAAACAAACAAAAAAATCAAAACAAAACATGTCTTCCAAAACCACAAAGTAAAATATTTGGGGTTTCACCTGCTCTAAGACAATCTAGGTGGTGGCCACGGAAACTATTATTTGAAGATTCCACTCACATTTTTCTTCACTTATAAATTTTGTATTTTTAAAGCATCTTGGGCCATGAAGGTCACAAGCCGGTTTGACACAGTCTGGGATTGTTTAAAATATCTCGTAGTCTGTTGGGTTGTTGGCCTAAAGTGTAAGACTTGTGGCCCTAATGCCCACCCGTACAGACAACACCATTCACAAGACTTTGTAATTATGTTTATGTAACCAGGAAAGACGACCGCATTGCAAGTGCATTTTTGTTTTTATCATGCTACCTCAGTTTCCCCTGTAGAAACACATCTCTCAGCTCTGTTTATGCTGACCACATACAACTTCTAGGGAGGTAGGAAAGCAAACATCTTCAGACAGGACCCTGTCTGCTGATGTGGAGCTACAAAGGTCTGAGACTCCTCACACCATTCTGACAATTGTTGAACTAAAAGGGACCCCTTAGCCCTCTGACCCCTCCCTCCAAGCTCCTCCATCTGGTAGAGGGAAGTGTACCTGGTGCTTCTGAGCAAAGGGACAGCCTTACCTATAAGAATTACATACTTCTTCAAAGACATCACACAATCCTCACAAGGAGGCTCTGGCAACTTCAACCTTAAAACCAGCACACAGTAATGACCTCCAGTCTTTTAGATATTTTACTGAACACAGCAATACAGTCTCTCCTCTGGAAGTATAGAAATTAGAGACCGAGGTCAGACCAGAGAGATGGCAAAGGTGCCTACCCCACAAACCTGGCAATCTGCATTCAGTCACCAGATCCATGGAAAGCCAGCTCTCACACGTTGTCCTCCGACCTCCATTTGGTGTGTTTGCGCGCGCACACACACACACACACACACACACACACACACACACACGTGCATTCATGCACACGCATGCGTGCGCACACATATACACACAGGATAAATAAAAAACATGTAATAATTTTTTGTAAAAATCAAAATCATTCTGATGAGCTTATTCTGAGAATTTAATAACATGTCACTATTTTATGGCAACATAGTATACCTGTTATATTTTCTATCACACCAAACTGAAATAATAAATTAGTTAATGGTTTGAATTTGGGGATTTCATTAAGCATTTAAGCTTTCATTAGCATTTAAGTTTGGTGTTGGAAGATCATTCAGTCAGTGAAGAGCATGCAAATGTGAGTTAGATCCTCAGCATCCATGCAAAAAGAATATCTAAGCATGGCAGCATGCCCCTATAATCTCAGAGCTGGCAAAGCAGACAGAGGAGGATGCAGGGCCTTGCTGTTCTGGCTGAATCCAGGAACCCCAGGCTCAGTGCGCGATTCTGTCTTAAACAATAGAGTAGAGAGCCATCAAGGAAGACACTCCGACCTGCATGCACATGTACACATATGCATGTACACACACACACACGATCGTATCCACATAAACACAAAGACGAGTTGGAACCATACGGTTGAGGAGTAAGATCTGAACTGATACAGTAAGACAGAGAAACAACAATAAAAACATACTCTGCACATAGAAAAGGATAAATCAGGTGATATGAACGACATAGAGACCGTGTGACCCACTTCAGCTGGGGTCGGAACTACTGCCCTGCACTGAGAACTAAACCTTCCAGTGTCAGAGGCAAAAGAGGATCCTCGGTGGCCAAGAATAAAATCACTATTTGAAGCTGACAAAGTTTTACAAATGAAGGCAAAAGAAAGTAAAAAGATGAAGAAGAATTGAACTTTCTTATACCAAAAAAAAAGGGGGATAGATATTTAGGGTTTATTAATCTAGAAATGCAAAATTCCATACAACCAGCCATTTCTACTTCACAAAACAAAACACAAATGAGTGCAACTGAATCCTTCTGTCCCCCGCCAGTGTAAAGGGATCACTGTTCATGGCAGCTACTGTTAGGGGTTGGATCATGTCCTTCCCAAAGACATGTTAGGCCCCGACCCCCATGTATCACAGAATGTGATTGCATTTGGAAACATGGTCCTTGCAGTTGTCCTTAGAAAGATGAGCTTGCAGGGGAGGAGGGTGGGTCCTTAACCTGGTGACTGAGCTCTTAGAAGGAGGGGAGACTCGGCACCTAGAAACACAAGCTAGGGGGCTGTCACAAACTGGCAAGATTGAGGTGGGAATGAGTCTACAGAGAACCAACGATCGCGGGAGGCCTGGAAGCTCCTTCCAAGGACTAGCAACAGGTAAGGAATTCTACTTGGCGTCTCAGAGGGATGCAGGAACTCCCTGTTTAAAGCCACCTTTCTGTGAGATTTGGCATGGCCGCCCTGTCTTACATAGCCTTGTGTTCTGATTTCAACCAGAGTGAGCCTTAACTGATAGACTTGGGCTTGGAGAGCAGCCATGGCACAGAAAATCCAAATCCTTACCTGCTACGTAGTCACCGAATCCAATGGTCGTCAGGGTGATAACCACAAAATAGATAGCGTCCAGAGCGCTCCAGCCTTCTATGTGCTTGAATATGACTGCAGGGAGAGCCACAAAGAGGACACAGCCGAACAGGATGAAGATGATGGTGGAAATGATGCGAATCTTGGTCTGGCTAACATTCCATTTCTGGAAAGACAGAGACGTGGGGTAGACAGAGGTTACTGACATGCCCGCAAGACCAAGCGCCATCACATGAGTGAGAACACTCCTTCCTGCCTTTCTGTCCTTCCTATTTAGCGGTCTTTACTCATTAGAATCGAGTATAATTTAAAGAGTTAAGAACAACCAGTGTCAATAAATACTTGGCACATTCATAGCTTTGCCAAGGGTAAAATATTTTTTCAAAACAATAGTACATTTGCTCATTGGCTGGGAGAGGGTGGCGCTGGATAGGAGTGAATGGTCACTTACCTGAACTATTTAGTGAAAAATGTCTACGCTGTGGGTACACAGCTGACTGTGGGTCAGGTACAATTGAGGAACATGTGACAACTGAGAAACTGGGGCGAGGACTACACATTCACAGCTGGTAACTGGGGACATGGATGGTGGCGTTCATTTGGTTGACTATGAGACTAAGGAAGTCCGCCTTTGAGTCCCAGCTGAGCCAGCTGCCTCTGGGACTACAAAGCCATCAGATCTGCAAGCCAAGGGGCGATGACTTCACAGTCCTGACCATGTCTGTCACCACGGGGCCCGTTTCTTTGTTGTTGTTTTGTTTTGTTTTTACCTGCTTCTTCAGTAAGAACTCCTTATAACGTGAAGTATGAAAGGGGGTCTGTCTCCAGCTCTCTGTTTGAGATTAATCATCTTCTTGTTATTTTTTTAAAGCAAAATGTCCCTGTAGTGTAATCTAGACTTGCCTGGACCTCCCAATTCAGCTTCTAGAGCACTGGGATTGCAGGTGTGTTCTCCAGTAAGCCACGCTGGCATTGCTGTGATGCATTTTGATTTACTGACTGACTCCATCTTATGCACCGCAGTAGCCCTGTGAGAACCCCTGAGGGGGTGAGGAGATGGCTCAAAGATAAAGGTGATTGTCACCAAGACTTGAGTTCAAGCCAGGACCCACTTGACAGAAGAAGAGCCAACTCCTACAAATTGTCCTCTGACCTCTACATGAGCAACACAGGCACATACAAATAAATTTAAGTGCAATTTAATTTTTTAAAAATGAAAACCATTTAATAACAGAGTGAGATCTTTATGGAGATAAACATGTACAAAATCACAGAATGGAAATGGCCACAGGGAGCTCTCTCATCTACTGTCTTCATCTCACGTGAGAGACTTGAGTAAAGTCATATCTTGAAAGTTGTTTCAAAGTGTTTGACATCAACCATCATAACAACGGAATGGCACCACCGTGAAGGCGTGAAGGTTTGCAAACAGCCAGCAGGCACATGGTTGGCAGACACCGTGGAGGATGGCGTGGGCAGTCCCACTTGTGCTGACTGTAGGAATGAGCGATTCATTACTACCAAGTAGATGTAATGGATCTGCCTTCCTGATGAGTGTGAATAACTAGAGTCTAGCATGCGCAAGAGGAGGGAAAGCCCTGTTTGGGAAGAGTCATATCCCATTCACTCCAGCAGTAAGAATGATCAGAGCTGACTCTGATCTCTAGTAGTTTAAAATGGTGAGTCAATAATTTCATTTCAATAGAGGAACCACGAAGACATGTTTCATTGGAGCTTCGATGGAATGACAAAAAAAAAATAATGGAATGATAAACGTGATGCTTTGCAGGACAGGTGAGAGGAGATTCTTAACACCATGTGAAAATGCAACCATTTCACCCTTCCATGACTTTCTTCCAGGGTACAAACTTATAATCACAGATTCAATAATAGCATTCCCTCACTCTTTGGTTTTTCTCTGTACAGCCCCACCTGTCCTGAAAGTTGATCTGTAGGCCAGGATGGTCTTGAGGCCTGCCTCTGCCTCCCCAGAGCTGAGAGCTGGGATTAAAGGCATGCACTACCACCACCACTACTTCTCCCTCTGTTGGTTTCAATAATGGCATCCTAATTTTATCTGCATACCTCCCAAATATAACACGATCACAAATACCCTCATGTTTACTCTCTTGGCTTCTTCTGAACTGCTACAATTTGGAGGAAGTTTTGTTTGACTGAATTCTACCATCAAGGTATTTTGTGTTTACTATTTATTATTACGACCTGCCTCAATGGACCACATAACATATCAATGCCAACAGTAACCAAGACAAATGCCAAAGCAATTTTTCAAAATAAAAGTATTGCCATGCACTTGCTTCCAGAGTTAAGTGTTAACATTTACTGCTTAGAACAATGTTAAGTCATTGTTAAAGTTGCTCAAATAAGGAAATGAAGATGTGGTGCTGGAGAGGGGTCGCAGCAGTTAGGAGCACTTGTTGCTCTGGCAGAGGACCTGTATTCAGTCTCCAGCATCCACACAGGGGCTCACAACCATCTGTAACTAGTTCCAGGAGCTCTGATACCCTTTCCTGACCTCTATGGACACCGAAATCTGTGTACCATGTACACAGATTTGGATGCAGGTAAAACACATGCATAAATAAAACAGAAGTTTGGAGGAAAATTAACTACTTTACAAAACATAGGTGGGACCTGGGAAGATAGTACAGTTATGTTAAGTGTTGGCCTTACAAACATGAAAATACCTGTTCCACCCACAGAGCCCACAAAACAAAGCCAGGTGTGCTGGCGCAGCTTGTAACCCCAGTCCTGGAGAGGCAGAAACAGACAGGTCCTGAGGACCTCAGCGACCAATCAGCCAGTGAGAATCTGGGTCATTTAAAGACCTTGTATAAAAAGAAAATTGAATGGACCTTGAGGTGACACCCAAGATCACCCTTTGACTTCTACACACACACACACACACACACACACACACACACATATACACACACAGAGAGAATATAATTAGGATACCATACAACTCCAAGTGGAACCCAGGAAGGATATAAATCTGTTTTTCTGTACATAATTTTTTAGTTTTTCTCAGTCAAGTATACAAATAAATGAAGTCCAATGAGTGGCAGGCTGAGAGGGGAGCAGCTAAGAAATTGCTATGTAAATGGCAACTGGATTTCTACCTCATCTAAGGCACTAGAAGAGGTAATGTCTTAAAAAAAACAACAAATAGATGTAGTAAGAAGATTGTGGTACCCACAATAAATGTGTCTTCCACTTTGGCAATTCCTTTTCCAAATATGGTCCCAAGCTGATCGCCAACCCCAGCCAACAGAAAGCCGAAGAGGGGAATTCCCAGCAAGGCATAAATGATACAGAATATTTTTCCACCTTCAGTTCGTGGGGAGATGTTTCCAAATCCTGAAAAACAAAGATGGAAAAATCCAGTTGTTCATTAATGAGTCATAGTTTAAAGCGCCCACCCCAAGTTTAGCAAGAAACCACCAGCTCTTCATGGCAAAGTACGGGTTGTTTGTTTCAACTGGAAAAATCTCCCTTCAGTATAACCGTAGAATTAAAAGCTATTATAAGCAATTATTCCAAAAATACAACATACAGCTAATGTTTTGATGAAACTTTGATCAGATGATGAAAAATGAGATGTTAATGCACCAAGTTGAGTCAATATTTTCATCTACTTCTCTTTCCCAGGCACTAATAATACTATTGACTCTCAAACTTTCATTACCACTTGTAATACATTCACAAAGATGCACCGAGATTATCCAAACCTGTTTAAATTATCTAAAGAATAAATCTGTGTTGCAACTTATGTCTTTTTACTCAATTACATTCCAAAAATAGATAAATGCAAAATAATTGAAGTTCTGAAGAACTTTAAGGTTTGGAGATGTATGTACTGGACATGACTGAGGCAGCTGCACTCCACCGACTTCACAACCCCTGAAGTTGGCCACCTCTACCTGTGTGGGGTCAGCTCCCCACAGTGGGGGCACAGTTCCAGCAGCACTGAGAACACACTTGTGACAGACAGTCCTTTCTCTCTCCTCCATGACAAATTAACCTAGAGTTTCTCTTACTCAAAAATATAAATAGATAATAGGGGTTTGTTCTCTTGTTGTTGCTGGTCTCTATCTGTTTTATGATGATAGTGGCTGGGTTTGGTTTTTGTTTTATGTTTTTTTTTCTTAATCCATTCCATTCTGTGGAATCACTAACGGGAGCATCTACAGAAGGCTCCCCCATCTTTGCATCAGGAGAAAGCTGTGAGCACAAGCTTTCCAAGAGTTCTGCACAGCAGACCCCATAGCAGGTGCTGGGAACTGAGAAGCAGTAAGGCAGCCACCAGATGTTGTGAAGAACTGGGGTGCAGCTCTGAATGTCATAGGATTGAAGAACTCAGTAAAGGCTGTCCACGTCTGACAGCCCCTCATGGAACATGGGACCTTGATCAGATGATTTCCTCGGCTGTCACAGGGGAAGATTGTTACTGCACACTTCCTCAAGGTGCACAAAATAACTAGGGTAGCATATGAAGGTGTTAGGAAAGCCCACTGTATGGTGTTGCTCAATATTCCTCAGGCAATGTGAAAACTACCTATTTTCACAGTTTTCAATAAATTATTTTCAATAGTTTCGCAGCTATTTCTAGTCATCGTACCGATAGACGCAAAGATAACTAAATCAAAGTATTCTGTCTATCAGGGTCTAAAATAATAATCAAGCAAATGCTGCTACCATCACCTGAGGGTCTTCACCATGTAATGGAATTCTGTGACCACCCATGGGTGCCATTCTTCACAAAGGCCGTTAGAAAAAGAGCTCACATAGCAAAAGGCTGCTTCTTACATGGAATGGTCGGGAGGAGCAGGGTGCTTATAATGGAGGGAAGGAGACCAACAGAACAGGCAGGCACTCTAGCGAATTTCAACTGTGATCACAACCCAGAAAAGGAACTGGACCTATGTGGGTGCTTCAAGGCAAAGAACCAAGTTGCAGGTGGAAGCCACACAAAGGTACATGTATGTAGCCATGGAAGAAGAGCTGGCTATGAGAGGCGGAGCTAAGCCAGTGACATGCTGTGTTCAGCAGCTGAGAGGAGGACAAAGTTCCCTCCTCTCATTCTTTGGGAACCAGCCACCGAGCATCGGCTATCTGCCAGACTCCATGTCAAGTACTTAGAGTGGAACTGTAAAGCAAGCTGGTCTGATCTCTCAGAGCTAATAAGTCAGGGAGCAGGAAGCACATGGCTCTGATGTGCACAGGTATGGTGGTGTCACAGGGTCCGAAGAATGCTGTCGGTGCACATGGGCTTAGGAGAATGAGGGAAGACCAAAGACCCCACAGTGGGGGCCAGAAATTAAGTAGAATTTACGTAGGGTTTAGAAAGAAGAGTGTTCACGACAAGGTTGAAGAACCAAAGATAGAGAATATCACAGGAAATGACAGAGGAAAAATAAAATGTCATCTCTGAGAAACTGAAAAAAAAGGGGGGGGGTAGAATGCTGAGGAATGTGTGTGAGTTTCCGGTAGATAAAGGAAGAAGGTAAACAGTGGCCATGTTACAAAAGCTCTTATCCGGGTAAAGAAGTTTGGGTTGAAGGAACTGTTGTAAGGCTTTCAACTGTCTGCGGTGACAGGATCCACTTTGGTACCATCAATGTCATGTCAGTTTCCCAAACAAGGGTGTTTACAAGGAGAGAAGGGGGAAAATTAAGCTTAGACTCTGGCGTAGATAACTGGTGATCGTGGGGAAGCTTCTTAGAGACAAACAAACCAAAAAGGCCCTAATCAGGCCTTGGGACAGCACAGGTAGGGCCAAGGAAGGTTAAGTGCTTTCTTGGTGAGTGTCCATCAAGATCTGAGTGCCGAAGACCTGGTTGTCAGCATGGCGCTATTAGGGATTGGTGGACACTGAACAGGTGGGGAGGGGTCTTAATTTCTTTTCCTGTTTCTGTGATAAAATCAATTGATGGGAGAGTCTATTTCAGCTCACAGTTCAAAAGTAGCCCTCATGGCCAGGAAGTCACGGCAGCTGGGACTTGAAAAAGCTGGTGACATCATCACAATCAAGAAGAAAAGAGCAATGGATGCACCCTGCTTCTCAGCTCGCTTTCTCCATTTACTGAGTCCCAGATCCCATTCAGGAAACAATCCTATCATAGTGGGTGGGCCTTCCTACCTTGATTAATGTGACCAAGATACTCTCCCACAGGCACACCTAGAGGCGCACCTCTAGGGATTCTGGATTCTGCCAAGTTGACAGTTAACCATCACAGTGAAGCCTAGTGAGAGACACTTACATCATTGGGACTTTGCCACTAGAGACTGAGCTACTCAACCCCTTCCTGCTCGTCCCTTGGATCACAGTGACAGTCTGCCCCTCTTCCCACCAGTTTCTTCTTTCACTCACACCAGAGGCCATCTTGGACTGAGACCTCCAGAACCATAGCCCCAACAAAGCATTTCTCTTTAAAGTCTGTTCTCTCGGGTCTTTTGTTAGCGTAGCCCAAATGTGACAACAAAAACGATGACGCTGAGGACCCGGTTGCTTTTCAGCCTCTAGTGTCATAACCAAAGTGGATACTGCATGTCACATTCATAAGCCAGAAACTCAAGAGGAGACAGAAGCCTGAGCTGGTATAGATTATGAGGTAGATTAAATAATCTGCAAAAAGAATGTATAGACTCTAAAGAAGAGAAATCAAGGATGAAACTTCATAGAACATCAACAATTAAGATATAAAAGGGGACAATCAGAATTTGGCTGTGACAGGATAGACCGATTACAGGATAAGCCAAAGGACTAAATGAGATGACCACTGAGGAGTGCCGAGGATTAGCAAGAATTTGTCACAAGAGACGTCAGAAAGGGTACTTTGATGGCAGAGTGCCACAAGAAGTCCACTGTAGCCTGCGCTGTAGCCTTTATCCCCTTCTTTCCTCTGGGCTTCCTTTTCACCCTCTCCTCCCTTCCCATCCCTTTCCTGTCCCTCTTCTCTCTTTCTACTCTTTCTTCCTTTGAGTTGTAAATAATTTTAGAGTCATGGGAAAGTCAGGAATGCCACACAGAATTCTTCGAAACGTTTCCCATACCTGCCAACCATTTCCCGCGTTGCCCTCTTCTCTCTCTCTCTCTCTCTCTCTCTCTCTCTCTCTCTCTCTCCTTAAATACATTCTTTCTGCATCATCTTGTAGCAACCTACTGACACTGGTTTTGTTTGTTTGGATTTTTGTTGATGTTTGAAAAGTGATACCAAGTTGGCTTCAAACTAGACAGCCTAGCAGGGCCTAACCTGCTTTTTCTGCCTCATCTCTGTGTACTGTATACAGGACATTGGAGCCAACCCAGGACTTCAAATATGCTAAGCAAGTATTCTACCAACTGAGCTATCTTGCATGAGTTCTAATTGATCTTAATAATAAAATCCCAGGGTCAAATATTGAGGTAAATGCTGAAAGATCAGAGAGACAAAGGAACAAGCCACAGCCGATTCTTATCTTGTTAACTCCCCAGCCGAGAAAGGGCTGAGCTGCTGTCTTCTCCTGCCTTCCATTCTCTCTCGGCCCAGCCATACCACTTTCTGTCTGTCTGTACAGACCTTCAGACCTCTATGGTTAGCTGGTGGCTAGCTCTGTCCTCTAATCTCAGGCAAGCTTTATTTGTTAGAGCACAAACAAAATATCACTACAAAGCTACATCCCTAGCTCGCTTATCCTTGTATTCTTTGCTCTTTGCTTTCATAAAAAAGATAATCTTTTAAACAACTACAGTATAATTTTCAAGCTTGAGTAAATTAGCATAGATGGAATTATTACTAAATTTATAGTCTACGCTGAAATTTCATCAGTTGTCCTATTAACAGTCTTTACCGCATTTTTCCCCGAGGCTAGGGTCAACTCAGGAGCACACACTACATTTGATTAACATGTCTATCAGCGTCCTCAATTGTCTTCTACCTTTCCACCTAAGATGAGGAGTTCATGTTCAAAGTATCCCCTTTTGGAAATCAAGGTTTTCGGTATGGCTCAGACTTGGCTAAGAAGACTGACAAGGAGGACAGACAATCCAGCCTCAAAACGATCATAGAACAGGGGACTGCAGATGAGCCAAGCTCTTGAAGGTGGCGGCACAGCGCCTTGGAAGGGTGGGGAGCATGGCTTCTGTGGCACACTGCACAGGCTTGGGTTGAGAACTGTTAAGTTTTTAGGGATTTTCCAAGTCTGCTGAATTCACCTTCACAGCCTGAAAAGATCTCTGGTGGGAATATTTTATTGTGGAAGATGGCAGATGCTGTGACTTACATCGTGTTTCCTTGCTCTGGCAGGTACTGTTTACATCTGTCAGCCTGATACAATCTCTGAAAAGGGAGTCTTCACGGGGAACTATTTTTTATTTT